TTCAACGCACACTCGAGCATACTTCCATTGATGCTGCCATAGCTGTGTTGATGTCGACTTTCAGTGGTACTCCTAAGGCTTTAGCTATATGGTACAAGACCTTCTCGTTGTAGTATTCTATGTGTAAATTAGGAAATCTTACCCAAATAGCAATTGTGTCTTCCTCGGCATCATCAGATTCAAAATCTTGCTGCCATTTTCTTGCTGTTACATAATGATCCATTACAATCCAATGACAAGCCAGCCCTGGGGCATAGGCCACAAGGCCATGGCCAAGGGCCTCTTAAAATAGACTAAAATAGACTAAAAAAAAGGACCTCCTCCTATTATAATTCAGTGTAATATATTAGATATGTTTTAAGCCTAAAAAAATTAAAAAAGGCCCATACTAACTTAAAATAAATTGACCTATTAAAAAATTGAAAGGTCATTCAAAAAAATTAGTATTGTTATCCATTGAAAATAGACCCAAACAAGGGGTCTCTCTTATTATAGTTTAGTCTAATATATTAAGTATATTTTAAGTCCAAAAAAAATTAAAAAATGCCCAAATTAACTTAAAATAAATTGATCCATTAAAAAATTGAAAGACCCATTTAAAATAAATAGCACTGTAATCATTGAAAATAATTTTGTAAAAAAATTAGATTATGCAAGTATAATTGATTTATTTTCTTCTAAAAATACAAGATGAGTGAGGATCAAACGATACTTATTAGTTATTGTAATGTAATGCTAAGTATTTTTTGTAATTTTGACACAAATCTTTTGTCCTTTACTTTCAATTTTTTTTTTTTTCATTCAATGAAAAAAAAAAATATAAAGGATTCTAAAAATTTATTAATTGATTATCGACTTTGACCTCCGGAAACCTGAGGGCCGGACCTGTCCAAGGACCACCGGTATAAACTTTGGTGTAATCCTCTGTCATGTCAAATTTCACAATGAAAACCCATTTCCTATGTCCAGTGCTTCAAAATCTACTTGCAAACACTTGATTTTTGTCATCTTCATCATGAAAAATTTATACCCTATGGTTTTCCCAAGCAATCGCACAATCAAGCATTTTTTCCATGGATTCCTTACTTTTTCAGAAGTGCCGAGGGAATTTTGATAATGGGGATTCATCCCCTTGTATCAAATCCATCACGAACTCCTTCCTCAATGGATGTATCAGTAGTATTATCCTCCTCATCAAAGGAAAGTTATTCCACATCGCAATCAAAATTCTTCTCATTGCCATTCTCATTAAACCTAGATCGTAGGAGTGCCTGTTTGAAGGAGCGATTTCCTTTGTTACTCATAGTGATATCCATTGAGTCTGGGCGTATCTCCTCCATCTGGTTCTGGTTACCATTTCCATCGTCCAGATCAACTTCAAGGCATGCTTGGAGCTAGGATTTAGCTCCCTTATTATCTTGATCTGGTAGTAATTCGTCCATCGTTTCATCCCTGGATTCAGAGATGCTTTTGATCTTCTTTGTGCTTCTGATCAGGTGATCTTCCTCGTCCGTGGAACATTCTTTTTCCAGCCGTTGCTTGCTAGAGTTTGAGGTCTCAATAATGATCGTTTTTAGAGAGAGAAAAAATTAGAGAGAGAAGCTCTAGAGAGTATTCCCATACTCTGACTAATAAAAACATCTATCAAATGCACCAAATGCAATGAGAACTTTCTAAATCACGTAATGGTCTCATAAATTGTGAGAGCAACATGCCTTTCACATACACTAGGTTTAATGTATTGAAAAAACAATCTTACAACAGATTAGACGTGAGATGATTATCTAGTGCGAATACTTGTCCAATGCCTTAAATGTGAGTCTTATGAATCGTAACACTAGTCTTGCAAATTGTGGAGTCGACAAATCTCTCACAACTTGGTTCCAAAAAAAAAAAAAAAGACAAATCTCTCACAACTAAGTACATTCAATGCATTAAAAACAAGAAGATAAAAAACAAAAAAAGCCTAATGCCTTAAATAAATCTCTTTCTCATAATGTGACTCTATCTCAACAATTAATGGAGGTCATGTCAATCAGAAATCAAGTTTGTAAATTAATATGTCACTATTTATTCACATGTTAAACCAGTAGCAATGTGTATCTTTGAACAAGAAAATAGCTACATGAACCTTTTGGATGTGCATCCAATTAATTACCTTGGCTCAAAATGACCCATTTCATATACCCCAAAATAAAATAAAAAAACGATCAAAAAACTAAAAAATTAATAAAAATTATATGTGATGTCAATCATGGGAGCAATAAAGGCTTGTGCTCTAAAGAGTACGAGGGAAAAAAAAAAAAAATTTTCTAACTCAATGTCATAATTTTTATGCTGTCCAAATTATAGTAGTTCATCATAGAATTGTGGATTGTTGTTGTCCGGCTTGTCTAATTAATTATGGGTCACATTCAGATTTTATGATGAGTTCTCTATTTTAAACATGAATAATAATGTTATAAATACTAATTAATTTATCAATAAATATATTGATTAAACAAAATATAAAGTAAATCTAATTATAAATGAATACTCGAACTCAAGACCTTTAATCTGAAAAATAATTTTATTATTTGAGTGGCATTTTATATATGTATTTTAAATAAAAATTAAAATTTTGTACATTTAACAATACACTCATCGAGTGATACATGTTTACTAGTATTGGGATCTCAATATAATAGAATTTCAGAGGCCCATAAAGCCCAACACGAGTCTCGTTTTGATGATTTGAATTGTTCATTTTGTAGGATTTAGAATGTATATTATCCATGAAAATTTTTTAGGGCAATCCGATGAAAATCGTAAGCTTTTCATTTTGTCTAAAAAATGAATGACTTATTTTAAAAGTCTATTTATTGTTCATTTTTCGAAGTCAAATGTAATAAAATAAAAATGTTATGATTATCGAATCGAACTAATTTTTTCATAAATAGTATATATTACAAGCTATATAAAATAAAGGTTCAAATTATCAATACGAAACTCATAATCAACTCTATAAATTCCTATAAATTCTATCGTACTAAAATCTTAACATAAAAAACAGACCAATCCTGGTTAAAACATGAGAGGCTATGCTATAAGACTTTATGGTTTCTGACCATCCACCATTGCAATAATTGTAGTCACAATCACTAGCTCATAGAACGGGCTAAATTAGACCAAAGAACAGTTTAAAATTTTATGAGAAATTAATGAGTGCAACGATGTGGTACAATCCAAAATTATATAGAAAGTTGGTGGTTCAAAATGGTGAGAGTCAGGCCCACTAATATGTCACATGAACTTTGAAAATTTCAATTTCAAATTTGTCGAGACATTGAACCAACAACATAATTGTCCGATCATTATTTAGGTCTCGTTTGGCAATCGATTTTTTTAATCAAAAAGTTAAAAAGTTATTAAATTAGTCAAAAAGTCAACAACTCATATCAAAAAGTCAAATATTCTCTTTTCTCTCTACTTTTTGCACATCTTTTCGTAAAAAATCAAAAAGTCATCCCAAACATACTAGTTTTTTTTAGCTCATATTTTAGTCAAATAGTTAAAAAATTACTAAATTAACCTATTCCAAACGAGACCTTAATTGGTGACATGTTAATACTAGGGGTCGGGATTAAAGGAGAATTTATCACTAAATTAAAATTTTTAATTTTATTAGTTGACAAATTGAAGCAGACCGAATGACATGGTTCAGCTCTATCAGCTTTGTGTAGAAAAATGATTCTCATAAAATTTTAAAGCATTTTATAAAATTTATAAAATTTCATATTGAAAATAAATATTAAACAAACTTGTGAAAATTGATCTATAACTTCCTCCCTAATTTTTATTACAAAACATATATTATTAATTACCTATATTCTAATGTTTAAAGAATTAAATATAAAAGTATTTACATATAATATTTTCAGTCATTTCGATTTATATTAGTGTAAAATTTTTCAAAACCAAAACAGATTTGAAGTTATGAAAAGCAAACTAAAAATCAAAATTTCGGCTGATCTTGAGAGGCCTATTTGGTTATGTCAATTTCTCTTACAACCCTAATTAAGACAGTGCCAATTTTTGCTTAAACACAAAGGATTACTAAAATGAAAGTAAGAATATACAAGCCATCTCATAAGCGGCAGCCAAAATAATTTTTAGCAGAAAGCTTTTTCGTTTGCGATAAAGAGTAAAAGAATGGGCTTACTGCTGGATTCGTAGGGTCACCACAGGTTCCGTTTTAATTATCCGTATCATTTAATGTGTAGAACTCGTTAAGTACTTCTTTCTTGTAAAAAATCATTTTGATCGAATATCGATAACTCTTTGATTGAAACACGTTTTTGTCAATGGTAAATATGATTTTAAAAATAAATTGTTTACAAAAATGTGTTTCGATTAAGGGTCTATCGATATCCTATTAAGGTGATTTTTAAAAGGATGAATTACTCAACGAACTCTACACATTGAATGGTTGGGATAATCGAAACGGGACCCGTGGTGGGCCTCACAGGTCTAATCACTGCAAGAAAATTAGCTTTTACCGGCGTTTCAAAAGCGTCGCTAAAGCTATCAAAATCGTGGGCAAAACATTTACTGGCATTTTAAAATTACGTCGAGGATGCTACCGTCGCTATAACTTAGCGACATTTTATAAACGCCGTACAAGATCTTTTGCAGCGTTTTTTTAAACGCCAGCATAGAAGTTGCCCTACTTACAAATGACGTCATACTAACCGTAGTGGCGTTTTTATTAAAGCGTTGCTAAAAGCTTTTTTTTCAAAATAAAAAAAATATATATCTAAACCTAATCAGAATTTTTTCCAAATAAATTTACAATTAAACAACAAAATCTAATCAAAATATGAATTCCTTCCTCCAAAAAAAAAAAAAAACCAACAAAAGCAAAATTCAAATTACACAATTCACAATAACTCAAACATTTGATCACCTTTAACATTCAAAATAAATTGGAACCAATTAAGCCATAAATATTTTTACAAAAATACAAATTTGACCAATGAAAATTTATGACATAACAAAAAATTAAAAATATTTACAAACATGAGCTGATCATGACATACTACATAATATTAGTTCACTTTCCACCATGGCTGCTAAGGTGGTACTCCCAATGCCTGCACTTAAAACAAAATAAGTTTTTTGGATATAATAAAAACATTATTAGACATTATCAAGAAATTATAGTAAGCTGAACATGCATGTTGTAAACGTTGTTGAACAAAATTTTGTTAAATGTCATGGTTTGAATTCGGTCTATTCCTGAACGATGCGAGAGACAAATATTTAGAAATGAATCCTTCACAATGTTGTCAAATAATATGCCTTTTTGCATCTTTTAAACTTATTGACACTACATGAACAAATGCACAGAAATAAACAAAAAAAAAAAATTAAAAACAAGACAACTGGCTTAAAAATGTTTTTGACAGAATTGTTCACAAAGCAAGAAGAAACAAAAGTAAATAACATAGATGGGAGATAGAAAGGCGTTAATAGAACAAGTTTGTATGAGAAGAAAAAACAAAATACATAAAGGGTGAAATGATACATGATTTGTTCATATTAAATGGAAGTGAAGATGTTTCTAATTAGAAGAACAGGATAGGATTATTAAACTATCAATCTTACCGGATGTTGCTTTTTCTCCCCAAAAATTTGCACCGATTTGTATAATTTTTAAAAAACTTCTGCATCAGTTCATGGATAACTTCATCTCCCAACTAACACCATAAATGAATTAAAATTTCAAATTTAAGAGCAAATCATTATAAAAAAAAAAAAAAAAGGCTTAAGTATGGAATGCCATACGTACCTGCAACACATTTGTTTGCTTAGGAATTTTCCGGATATGGATGTTAGCAAGTAGTAAAATCAGATGCTCCCTCCGGTTTGCAACATTTCTCTTCTCCATGTTCAACAATAGACCTTTCATCTCTCAAACTCCATAGATATAATATTATTTAATCATAAACGGTGGATGAATTGTAATTTCTATGAATGATATCGAGGATTTACATTTAAATTCCTAAATTTCAGAAGGATTTAGAACACAGATACACAACACATATATGTGTATATATAGGGAGAGAAAAGAGATGGAGAAGATTCAAAAAATAGTCAACTTTTTCCTTCCCTCTCTCTTTTCCTTTTAGAGTTCTCAGCACCCAAGCAATGAGAAGACATCTTACCTCTTTTCAAGATTTACAACTCGTTTATATTACATTGTTAAATGGAGAAACACTACTTGTTTTCTCGTTTCCCTTGACCACCCTCTCTCATTCCTGTCTCCAATATTCTCTCTCTCTGTCTCTCTCTCTCTCTCTCTCTCTCTCACACACACACACACACACATACATTATCTTTCATTAACAAACACTAATATCTATGTCCCTTCTCTCTTTCTAATCTCTATTCTTTTTACTGATCTCTTTCCCACTTTCTTCCTAATTTTCTAGAAACCTCACTCCTCCCACAACTTAAATTCGGTAGAAACCCACACATTTGAAGGTTGTTGGTAGTGCCGTTTTTGAACAATGGTAAGCCTCACCCACCCTTGGCAACAACATTGGCTTTGAAAAATGGTCGATCTCTGGTCTCTTTTCTATTCCTCTATGTTTCTCTAAGATCTATATGCTTTACCTGATTCATAGAATCAGAGATGAAAGTATATATATGTATTGATTAGGTTTTTGAGGAAGAAGAAAAAAAATGCTAGTTTCCTCAAATTTGTTACTGACCGAAATCTGACAGATAAGAACGGTTTCAAATGATACAGTTTCGCAATAACATTCGGTCGATTACGATTCATGAGATTTCTAACCCGATAGAGTCGGTTCGAATGGCAGGTAAAGAGCAAACCTGAGCCAAACCGATAATCCGAATGCCAAACATCTTGTCCTACTACATGCACCATGCAAGACCATCTTGTCCTACAGAAATCGAACATCTCTAATAACTAGTAGTTATATGGTAAAATTGAGATGAAACTCACTGCTCGTTTTGGCAGACCAACAGCCCAACTTACAAGACAATAGACCACCCCAACCAGGAGATGTATAATTGAGACAAAGCTGCAAAAAGGGGAAAAATGATCTTTTAATTATCACAACGTTTGAGAGCTGCAAAGAGAGCTTAATAACACAATCTAACTTCACTATTTATAAGGCCCTAACTCATTCAGAAAAGGTAACTTACTATGGATATGGAAAATAATTATAAACTTTCTTGTTCAAAATATTGAAAATGACATTTAGGAAGTACCTGCGTAGAACAATAAACTAGATAATCCGCAAATGAATTTCGTATGCAGCAATTAGTGTCAAGAACAATTTACTAAAAATATTTACAGCCCACACAACAAAGAGAGTAGGGGTAATAAGGTTAAGTATCACATTTGCTTCAGCTGGAGTTATAAATCAATCACAATACAAAAATAATTTGTTAAAAATCAATCAAGACTTGAGAATAAGATTGAGCATCCCAAATCGTAAGGCATTCCACTGAGATAATAATTCCAGCCTAATCCAACAACCTCAAATGGCAAGTTGAGCACCAGACCAAAAACATAATCACAAGCTATCATATAAGAATTTACCATATATTGTCATGCAAAATTCTGAAGTGAATGCCCTAGTGCAATGAAAGTTGCAATTTACAACAGTCTACAATCTATCTTATCTAACTTATCCAAAATCATAGCAGAATAATCAACTGTCAACAACTACCAAGAATTTGAAAAGTGTAACAGCAATAATGAAAAATCATAAAAAGTCCAGAATGATAACTTCATGTATTACAGCTACCTTGAAAAATATGGCTTAGGCTATGTATTCCTCAACATGCATCCACTTAGTAGATAACCACTTGTTTCCTTGTATGCATGAAGAAATTATAATAACATAATGAAGTTTTCAAGTACTTTAAGATCGTTTATTGAAAGTATGATATCTTACTTGAAGGAATGCGTGAACATTTAGTTCATTTGCAGCCATCATATCAGCCTTAACACCACCAACTTGTTGTCTAGGATAAACCTTCATCATTAGCATGACATTAAGAACAAAATATGGTAATTTTAAATAACTCAGTTGAATAGAAGCTAGTGCAAAAGAAATTGTTGGAGTTCCTACTAATACATCCAAATGCACAATTCATGTAGTCAAGTAGTCTAAGAGTATACAGCAATGAAAACTTTCCATAAAAAGCAACCTGCCTGCACATTTTAAACTTTTATTAATAGAAATTTGAAGAACAAAATCCAATTTTCGACAGATGCTACACAAAAGAATAGAACCTAAATAGCTAGTTTTCCTCCTTTTTTTTCCAAAAAAGTAAAATAATAATAACAATGCTATAGCCTACAAGACATCTATAGTAATTGAAAGTAAAAACAAATGAAAAGGAAATACACAAGGACAAAATTTGTCATAGGGATGAACTAAGACAATGTTTAACTCAAGGAAATTGAAAAGGAAAAAAATACTAGATTATTGATTTCATTAGCAAAAGAGAGGCTTGAGTAATTGAGCGAGTCATCACTACACATGTCCCAAACTTACTGTAAATGTATGTTGTTGTTTGGCAGCACCATAGCTTTCCTTAACAACTCTCCCAACAATAGTTCTCTTTCCAAACCTGTTTGGATATAAACCTGTTCGAAATTAGTTGGTTAGGCTTTGGTTTCAATTCTTTGTTGCCCAGTTTTTAGGAGGTCCGCTCGAGCGGGTCTTATTGCGCTCGAGCGGAGATTGCACACTCCCAGTTTTTCGTGTCCCTGCAAAACTTCTGCAGGTGTGTTTTTCACGCTCGAGCGGTGGCGCTTGAGCGGGTACTTTGGCGCTCGAGCGGGTAGTACCTTTGGGTGTAAGTTCTAGGAGGGGGAAATCTATGCTCGAGCGGACTAGTTTTAGCGCTCGAGCGGGTTTACTTTATTCTTGTGTCTTGGCGCTCGAACGGGTCCTTTTGCGCTCGAACAGACCTAGTTTTTGTTCTTGACGCTCGAGCGTTGTGTTTTCCGCTCAAGCGGGAATGTCGTATATCAGTTGGCTGTGAGGCAGTTTTAAATCACTTTTTCTCATCCTTTCTCTCTCTTACTTTTCCGAAAAAGCCATTTGAGAGCCTCTCTCTCTAAAACCTTGCCTTCTCTCTAGATATTGATCTAGCTAGGGTGTTTTCCTCACCTTTGGTCTTTACAAAAAGGTTGTTAATCGTCGAGGGCTATCTTTTGATCCGAGGAACTCGTGGTTTGGAGCAACTTCGTTTTCACCATTTTCTTCTTGGGGTCTCATCTTTTGAGGTAGGGGTTCCTACTCACTCTTATGGTCTTTGACCTAGATTTTTAGTTGTTTTGATAAAGTGTTGAATTTGAAAAATTTTGGAACTTAGGGTTTCAAAATGTGTGAAAGAGGGTTTTGTGATTTTGGGCTTATAATATGTATTTTGGGTCTCAAATGGTGTTATTGATGTTGGTTGTTGATATTTAGACCATTGGGTCAATATTGAGAAATGGGGTAGAAAACCCTAATTTGGTTGAATAAATTAATTGGTATAATTAATTTGGGAAAAATTGTGGACATATGGAATTGAGTTGGAAATAATGAAATTGGCTCATTATATTGTGAAATGATGGAGTTGGATTTGTAAATCGCTCGCTTTTGAAAACATTGATAGTTTATCTGTTGGAGCTTTTATTATCTGTTTAGAAATAATTGCTTGAGCTATCGGTGGAGGGCAGTTTTGATTGTTGTAGACAATGCATGATGACTAGGCAAACTAAAACTAATCAATTGAATATGTCATAGAGTATGATGGTTGACAGAATACATTAAAATTATGTATTGACTGATTGTGTATATGACCTTTGTGTATATATGCATTGTGTGTGTGGGAGGAGATAGAGGATGTACTCCACGATTTAGGGGAAGATATGGGATGGACCTCTAAACCGGATGTTGTTTGGGAGGAGATAGGGGATGGACTCCACTGATACAACTCATATGCTTGTCAGATAATGTGTTGATATAGCTCATATGCTTATCCTTAGAAGTGTTGATACAGCTCATATGCTTGTCATTGGAAGTGTTGATATAGCTAATATGCATATCTGTTGAAATGTGGATACAGCTTGTATGCTTATCTGTTGAGATGTTGATACAACTAGTATGTTTATCTATTGTAAAAATGGGAAATGTTTAATATGAGTCATTGTCTCATATAAATGATTGGCCAGGTTCTGAGCCGTTGATATAAATTGTGAAACTGAAATGAAATGGAACTGAGTTATGAATTGGTTTGTGGAAACTGAACATTTATCAATTACTAATATCTTAGTTATTGCTCATACTGTATTTAGCATATCTCTACTGGGTGTTGGCTCACCCTTTATGGGACATTAATTTTCAGGTACAAGTAGTATGCCACCTCCAAGGACATAGCTTGGATGATGATGAGAGTTGAAGACTCTTTTTTTTGTTTATTTTGTTGTATTACATGTAAATACAAGCCAAGGGCTTAATGTGTATTGAGTTAGTACTCTCCTTTTTGTAACCAAGTGTTAACTTAGAAAACTGTAAGCCCGTAGGGCATTTGCTTTTGTTGTTAACATGTAATACAGTTGTAAGAATTACTCTGATGAATGGAAATGGTTGATTTCTTTTGTATCAATACTTGTCTAAAATGTTGGGTATTATGTATTATTTTGAGGGCGTTACAGCCTAGGGCCTCTTAAAATAGATTAAAAAAAAGGAGCCCCCTCCTATTATAATTTAGTGTAATATATTAGGTATGTTTTAAGTCTAAAAAAATTAAAAAAGACCCATACTAATTTAAAATAAATTGACCTATTAAAAAATTGAAAAGCCATTCAAAAAAATTAGCATTGTTATCCATTGAAAATAGACCCAAAAAAGGGGTCTCTCTTATTATAGTTTAGTCTAATATATTAAGTATATTTTAAGTCCAAAAAAAATTAAGAAAGGCCCAAATTAACTTAAAATAAATTGATCCATTAAAAAATTAAAAGGCCCATTTAAAATAATTAGCACTGTTATTCATTGAAAATGATTTTGGAAAAAAATTAGATTATTTAAGTATGATTGATTTATTTTCTTTTGAAAATACAAGAAGAGTGAGGATCAAACGATACTTATTAGTTATTGTAATGTAAT